TTTTTTTTTTTTTTTTTTTTTTTTTCACAAAGAATCTCACCTACTTGACACGTTATTTGAGCGCAGTTTGTATAAGTGACAATTTCATCTTGTACAATGGATCAAAGAAGGTCGGCACACAGTATAGTTTTCTTGCAATGTCTTTGCAACAACAAAGATAATGATACATTAGAAATAAATCCGTTTTCCTAAACAGTTCACTACACACGTATGAAAGTTGTACAATAATATTGCAAGTAATATTATTTAATATTCTAGTAATAAAATTCGAGAATGAAAAAAAAGTATCGATATACGAGAGGTTCGTTTATTGCAGCTCCAGCATGTATTTAAACAGAATATAAAACATTTTTGATGGTTCAAAGGCAAACGTTGTCGTTTTCTAATCTTGCGACAACATTCAACAATATTTGCAAACGGATATTTCGTAATTTTTAAATAATTAAATTAAACCATTAAATTAAGCAGATTAAGTATTGGAATCACGAGTATGTCAATATTTTGTTGACTCTCGAATTTTTCGAATTTATTTCTTAATTATCGAGAAATTAGCACTGTGCACGCTACTTGAAGATTTTGCTAACGTCAATGTGTGCCAATATTTCGTTGACCCACTGTATGAAGTTCTACTATATATCGATGTGCGTAGAATTTGTCCATTAACGCACATTTCACGAACATCCATTCGGTAGGCTCAACACATTAGCTGTGCCCGTAATTTCATTTCATTTGCATCAATTTCATTGTTACGAGATTAGAGATAATCGAACGGAAGCTATCAATAGCGAAGATACTCTGATTTATATTTTGACAAAAGGGGATCTGATGATATTTTGACAAAAGGGGAAAAAAATTATTACCCTTTGTTGTAACATCACTGTCGATTCCTTGCTCCAATTGAAATTATTTTGAAGTGAATCGCAGGATGAAATAGAAGGAGCCTTGACGTGACTAGTTTCGCGACCAAATATTGCATCCATATCGGCTATGGTAATTCGTGTCAAACTTATCAGAACATTTGATTGTTGAGATCTGTCTCTGAACACACCGTGTGTATGCGTGTATGTGCAAGGCACGATGCTTATACACGTTATAAACTTGACGACGTTCAATCACCAGAGACAAATGAAATCGAATAACGCCGAGGATTCTGGAATTTCACGAGTTTTCACGAGGCTTGTGGCCAACGTCCGTGGGACATTTTAATTCAACCCGAGGTCCCAAAGTTAGAGCCTAAGTCCAAAGTCTCATCCCGTTTCACTCAAAATGTACATCTAACTGGTATAAACATTAATAACTGCGACCTGCTTCTCGATTTCTCTTTGCTGTCGCTGTCGCAACGTCGAAAATTTCGATTTCATAAATGCGAGTTCACCCTTTCGAGTGGCTGTTTGAGGTAACATTGCCTGCGATTGGATCAGCATGCACAATATGAAACTGAATAGGAGAAACTAGTGCAACGTAATTCCCAATTATGGCCCGGGGAACGTTTATTACGCGTATTTCTAAATGAACGTAGCAAAACAAGTTAGAACCAACGTCCACTTGCACACAAAATGTAATTTCGTTTTATGGAGCTCTGCCTGTTCACGTTTTCGATTACTCGAAATTATACTTCGTTTTCATTTTCTGATATTCAATTGAAATTCAATTCGATTGTTAACAAAA